GTTTACATTTCAGTTGTTTTGTTGTATTTTCATTGTACGATTATGTGAGGACATTAAAATGTTCTATTCCTTAATTTCTCTATTTGTATATCAAAGCATAAGGTGTCCCAGGAGGGGGCCTATAGTGGAGGGCCATCTTACCCCAGTTTAGCCCCCAGCAGCATAACAGAATCACTAAAACTCAGCTCTTTCTCTTGGTTTTAGTGTGACACCCTGAGAGCTTCAGTGGCCTACATTTATGAAAAGTGTTTGGAGGCGGCTCTGGAGTCTATTAAGTATTCCAGAGGACACATTTTCTCTTCAAGTGTCCAGTTCTACCGGCTCTCATCTACCTGTGTCGGTGTCCGCGGCGTCGCTAGGGGTCATCAGAGGTTCACGCCGCCGCGAGCACATTTCCCAAAACATTCCCTGCTACGTCACTGGCCCCGCCCCTCCCCGCCTCGTGCCACAACGGCTGCGGTTCTGTCAGCTGCACGAGACGCGCGGCATCTTGTCCCAGATATGAAAGCTGTCAGTAAACGTTAGCGGTTAGCCTCGGTTCGGTTCACAGCCACGTCTCACCCGCCAAACACAGGAGAACCGAAGCCCGGTGCAACTTTTTTAAACAGCGGTGTCAGAGCGCCGTCACAGCTGTGTATGTGTGTGAGCCACCCCGGCGGCTGGCGCCCTTTGTGACTCCCTAAAGTGAATGGTAAGTAGCTGTACTGCGGGTTAGCTTGTAGCATCACTGCTAGTGTAGTTGTCAGTCACTGACCGTTGACGAACCAACACTATCAACCGATGAAAAAGTGATTTTGTGCCGGTCACGGTCCGGTTGTGGCTCGCTTCACTGACATTGTTCATGACAGACGTTTAGCTGACATTCAGCCTGTTGTTCGCTGAAGTTGTCAGTTGTTGCTCGTTCTCTTTGAGCCTCGTGAACAGACGTCGGTTCAGCATAGGCCAGGGTCCAACTTCTGGATGTCTGCCTTCTCTGTCCACATCTCGCTAAAGTCTTACCAGCTTCAGGAACCCTCACTGAGAAGTGCCGGTGTCGTACCAAAAAGTAATCTTCTGACTAAAACTAATTACACGCTTCTTGTTAAAGTTTTGTTGTTAAGTTCACAAACGTTTTCAGCTGCTTTTATCTGGAAACCGTCATCACTTGCGAAGACACAAAACATTTTGTCCGTGGTGACAGCAAAACTGTGTCTTTGTGAAACTTTAGCTTTTTTGTAACTAGTAATGGTGACCAAAAATGTTTGCAGGCAGTGATTGTGTGTGTTTGGTATGTCTCGTATCCATATTTAGACTGTAATTGTAAAGACTTAGAAATGATGACAAAGAAATTCTTTACAATTATCCTGTGGGGTATAATCTTTAATATGTGACTGTCATTAATGAATATAAGTCATTATGTTTGTTTATTAATGGCATCTTAGTTAAGACATAGGGTCACTTTTGGCAAATGGAAAACTGCTACAAAAAGCTTAAAAGTAGCTGAATTGTTTTTGTTCTGAACAGGTGAAATAATCCACACACATAGGGATAGTTGCTCTCACAAACAGCATCGTTTTTTGCAAGACAATTACTTTTTTACATTACATTTCCTATTTTTTTGTCTTTTGTTTGCTTGAAATTAGAAATCAATTGTCATTTTACCAGAACAACTGTCACAAACATTTTTTTTTCTAGATTCAAGATCAAGGTTGATCGTAATTCCTTTCTGTGGTTTGTTGTTTAAAAATATGAGCTGCCTTGTTTATTCATGAAACTGTCAAATTCTCACACCTCAGTTCAGTAGTGTCAGGTAGATGGTATTCTTTGATTGTATTCACATGTGAACATGATTTGTTTCAATCTACTGATGTTTGCTTCATGAACAGCTGCTTTCTTTTAAGATGTGATTCTTTTGCGTGTCTATAAGAGCTTTTGCCTTGTGAATGCATTGAAAAACACCCATAATGTATTGTATTTTTGCTTCATTTTGCTTGTTTTTGTGCTTGTAATGTATCCTAGGTCATTGAATATTTGTCTCCATCTTGACAATAGAGAAAACATAAGGAGAGAAAAGAGGGATGATACGTAGCAAAAGTATCCAAAAATGCTGTTGTATAGTATGTGTGTTAGATCACTGGTCTACCCCTTGTCTCTATCTTGCTAAGTAATTGGACAGTGAAAACATCTGTGGGAACAATTGAAGTGAGCCTGGGACTTTTTATTCTATCCATGAGCTAAAACAGTTAGTGGATGAAAGAAAATTAATTGGCGTCAACCTGGTTCAGGCTTCTCAAATGTAATGGTTTGCTGCTTCTTTTGGTCTTTTTAACAGGATATAGTTTCGGACAGTTATTCAGACAAAGTATACAGGCTCTTGCAGACTCTGGGAAATAGTTGTTGTTGTTTTGCCTAAACTATAAATAGATTGATAATAATTAAAATATTTGCCAGATTAATCAGTAATGACGGTAATGGATAGTTGTTGCCCTAAACTAAAAGTTTATCTTGCTCCTATTGTTGCAAAGATTAATATGTTATTCTGATGAAACTAGAAAAACACTCAAGTCTGTTCAAATTTGTTAGTTTACAGTCAAGAGTGCTACAGAATGTGACTGACTCTAACTGTCACTGCAGTCGCTGATTTCTCCGGAGACGCCCGTAAACATAGCGACACAACTTGTGTGCTGTGACAGGAGTTCTGATTCTGATATCCTTCAGGCTGTAATGCAAGTCAAAACTGAGTTCAGAATTAACCTCTACAGGTTTGGTCAGGCCATCCTTTTAAATCAGGCTTTTCCTCATTCCGACACTCTCGCTGTAACTCAGCTCATCTGTGTGAGTGTGTTGTTTTCTCATATATACAAAGTGCTATTAAATGTATTGTTTGTACATTTGACTTTGGAAAAGTCCTCAGATGTAATGTACTTTGAGAAAAAGTTTTATGTGACCATGTAGCTGTTCTTGCAAAAGTTTGAGAGAGAAGGGATTTATTTTCAGCTTAAAATGTTGCTGGAACATTGCAGGCGGTCTGAGTTGGAAAACATTGAGTCACAGCTGCCCAGTGGTGACAACCAGTGTCCCCCTGAGGGATAAAAGCCTTAGCAACATAATATATTCAGGACAGGACACAGCCAGAGGCTCAGATGATTGAAGCATGTTTAGATAGATGTGTTATGGATTGGATTCTCTGTAACAACATAAACTGACATACAGCTGGACTCACCTTACTTAAAAGGTCTGTACTTCCTCTTTGTGTTAGACTGGGAGTTGCTATTTTTTCAGTCCATCCGGTGAATCTCACAGCTCTAGTTGATCTCTGTCAAGCAGGAATAGCACCAGTCAGCTGGTACATTGTCTTGTGAATGCCAAACACAAACAATCACACTGAGTTCTTTGAAACCAAATTGCCTTTCAGAATACAAAGGGAATGTTTTCTTGAGTGTCTACCTAAGAATCTAAAAATAAAAACTAACTTGTACCTGAGTGCTTGTGCTGATGTTATTTTCCTACCCTGTCAGGCCCAGGCAGAGAGAGATGAGCTGGGCTGAGGAGGACTGGACGGTGGGGCTGCCTGGACGGGTTCTGCAGAAGGTTAAGGAGCTGCAGATCCACCAGGAGCGACTGTCCAGAGAAAACAAGCAGAAACAACTGCAGTTGGATAATATCAACACTAGCCTTGAAAAGCAAACTGTGAAGGTACAAACAGCAATGCTAGTTTATAGTTTTCACTTACAACGATCAGCCACATAATTAAAACCATCTGCCTGATATTATGGAGGTCCCTGTTGTGCTACAAAATCAGCTTTGATCTGTCAGGCCATGGACACGGGACCTTAGGGGGTGTACTGTGGTGTTGGGTACTCTTTTGGGTTCTGTGAGTTGCAGGGTGGGGCCTCTCTGGATCGAACTTGTTTGGGTGCATCCTGCAGATGCTGGGTTGATGCCTTGGGCTCTTTGTCGTGCTCTTTAAGCAATCTCTGAGCAGCTTCTGCAGCATGGCAGGGCACAATGTCCTGTTGGCACTGCTATTGAAGAATGTCATTGCCACTGCATGGGGGAGGTTCTTTGTCTGCAACAGTGTTTAGCTGGTACATGTCAAAGTAACATCCACACAAAGTATCATCCACACAAATGCCAGGAACCAAGGTTGACTGGCTGAACTTTGCATTGTATTGAAATTATCAATGTCATTTAACTAACCTGTCAGTGGTTTTAATGTTGTAGCTGATTGGTGTGTATGCTGTTGTCCCCCTAAAAAATATTCTGTGTTACAAATAACTGTAAATTATATTATTAGAGATATTCATAATTTATGCTGTTGACATTGATAGTGTGATGAATTTTGGGCAGGACTGGGGAAAGGTTATTTATAAGGGGCCATATACTTTATTGTACTACACTTTATCATAAGCTGGGAATTTTTCCCACCCATTTCAAAGTTTATTTAAATATTTTTGTCTGGTTGTTGTGCCTTCTATGTCGCACAGTACTTGAATATAATGTGCCCTGAATGTAACTTACAATTATTTTTTTCAGCAAAAGATGGTAACAGTTGTATAGCCTTTCATCATGAACAGTTGTGGCAAGGCCTGAAAAAAGTTGAAAACCTTTGAAAATAAAGTTGTGTTGTATAAATACTCATAGTCATCCATAGCAATATTTTTCAGTTTAAGTAATCCTAAAACATGTCCTTTCTCTCCCTCCCTCTGTGCCAAGTATGAGGAAGTGCGTGGGGAGCTGCACTCTTTGCAGAGAGAGCTCCAGAATGTTCGGGAGGAGGCCAAGGTGGCCGTGACCGGCAGGGAGCGCCTGACCCAGGAGATTCAGACTAAGCAGGCCCAAGTATGCTCTTTGGAGGGCCAGCTAGATGCTGCTCGTACACTTGGCAACAAGCTCACCCAGGAAATCAAAAGGTCAGCACAATGTAAATCATCGGGGACAATTTGCTTCTCTGTCAGATGTTCTTGTTTTTCATTGGATCTTTTTTTGTACGTTCTCATTGAGCACAGTAGAGTTTTGTACCTTCGTAATAACGTAACTGCTGTTAAAAATAAACTCAGCAGTAAAATAAAAATTTCTAGATGAGTACAAACACTTAATATTGGATATTTTTTGCAGATAGAAATGTTTCCTAAAGCTAAGTGTATTACCAAAAAGCAGATGAGAGACAAATTATTTTCTTCCATATTTTGCACGTATCGAAGCTAAACTAGGGAAGTCCTGATCGAGAGCTTTTGGAGCTCTATCCTGGTCCAAGATACAATTATTGGGTATCTCAATATAGACTCTAATCTCATACTTATACTTATGCAAATGTTGATTAAATATCTTTTTTATTTTCCATTTCCTGGATTTTTTTTCCTGCATGTGAGTTTTGTTGACCTTTTAGATGGCTTGAATCTGTAATTGTCATGGTTTAATAAAGGTTTATGGTGCCAGTAACAGATAAATCCTTAATATGTTACACTGGACTGTACTTGTTTTCTTTTTGAGCTTTCTCTGTATCCCTGCCCACACTCAAATGTTTCCCTCTGTGTCTCCTCCATCTTTCTGTGGCAGGCTGGAGGCTGAGCTGGAGAAGCTGCAGAACAGCAGCAGGCCAACAGATATAACTCCGTTTTCTACACCCTGCTGGAATACAACCTCGCCCTGGGAAAACAATGGTACAGACTCTTAGATTTATGCCTGCTGTGTTTGTTCTCTGTGGGGTTTTTTTCTCTCTCTCTTTTCATTAAAGCACTATATAGTTCTGAAAATTTAATGAAAAAACCACAAGATTCCCAAATGAGCAGAGAGTTTATAAATATACCCCCTCAGCCCCTATGCTTTCCCAGCCCTTCACTCCCCGGGGACTGTTGTGTTTGTCTTTCCTCTTGTCACTAACACACTTGGTGATTCACTACGACTGTTCCTCTTCAACTTTGGCGACTGGTTTAGGTTTAATCCATAATGCTGTGTTTTTGCCCTGTAGGGAGCAGACAGGAAGAGAGGTCGGGGCAGCGAGATGAAGGACAGAACCAGGCGAGTGTCCGAGTAAGTACCAGCATGTTCTTACACTGAGCTATGTGGAGGCTAATCCAAGGTGGATATTAGCTGAAAGCTGTTCTCTACTTGGAGGATTTGTTGCACTTCATATCAGTAAAACAAAACTTCCCTCCTTCCTTGTTTAGTTTTGATTTAATTTTCTAACAGTTTTAATTAATTAACTCTTTCCAACCAGCTACCGTGAGTGGCTCAACGTGTTATTATAACATGACCTACTGTAGCTATTTTGAGAGGATTTGGAGAGCATGACGCACTTGGCTTTCCAAAATTCTCTAAATGGCTAATATGAAGAGTGCGCTTATTACTACTATGACTAAACTGGACATTGTTTTGTTTTATTTCTGTTGCCCTTAAATGTAGTAGTGTTGCAGTTCAAAATATTTAGAACAGGTTAAATAGAATCAGTATCCACAGAATCATTGTTGTCAAGTTAGTATTCATGCTGTAATTTAGAATGTTGATTAGACTTTTTTTCCAATCTCAGTCTGGTCTCATGGTGGGGACAGCAGGACTTCTGGTGTTTCAAAACTCTCCCAAGTGTCCTTTATGCATAGCACCATGATTCTTCATTTGGGCTTTACATTGGATATTTTACTGATTGAATTTGGATGTATTTGTTCAGTTATAAAAAGGGATTAACCGCAGTATTGTTGTGGTGGCTCCTTGATACTCTTCTAATTGTCAGCAAGGTAAATAGTTTCATGGAAAGAACAAATCTATCTCTAATCTTATGCAGATTTAAAGATTTAGGATTGACTTATTTTACAATGTCACAAACATAATGTAATTTTATTCTTAAAGTTTATTCTTAAAATGGGCTCAGTAATCAGCTAAATCAATTTAATGTTGCTTAGAGTCCCTTTTGGTCATCGGTTAAACCCCTAAAAAACACTGCTGTGTATCAAAGTTACTTAATTATTTATATTTAGTTTTTACCATTAATGTAATCCATTTCTGGGCTAAAGTGGCTTAGATGTCAAGCACAATTCTGCTTAAACACTGTAAATCTAATCTGGGTTACAAAATGGCAAATTATAGTTTTGGAGTAATTCAGCCATGCATGTCTGAACACAGACGTTTCAAGGTGGAAATGCTCAGCAATGGCACTG